ACTTTTTTAACAGAGGAACAGGCTTACATTCTTATATTAGTAAAAGAATATCAGCAAACATAAATCCTTAACTGTTGCCATAGAGACAGCCAGAAGAAGAGGCAGTTTCAATTTCCCCATTGGAAAATGACAATTCAATACATGTCGCTGAGTAACACTTATTCTTTTAAAACTTTGTTCTTTCTTAATGTTACAGCTGATTACAAGGAGAGTTTTAATACCATTGGAAACATTGAAGAGATTGCATATAATGCTGTTTCCTTCACTTGGGACGTGAATGAAGAGGCGAAGGTGAGTGGAAAAGAAGCATTGATTCATTGTTCAGACCTTTGAAATAATGTCCTTTCTCTGTGGATGATTTTTTACAAAAGCATTTATATGTAGGGAAAGAACTGTTAACTTGAGGACAATAGGAAATTAACCTATTATCTTTCTCTAGAAGTCACACACATTCAATTATGTGCTGCTAAATTGCCCTTTGCGGGGTAAAGGAGAAAAGGGAGTGTACTTTTTTTCCTCTGTGGCCTCCTGCAGAACGTCCCAGGCCACATGTCCTTCCCAAACCCTCCAGACTCCATTTTAGCCGTTGGGGCTGGTAAGACTGGGCCAGAAACGCTTTTCTACCCGCACTGCAGATTTTCCCCCATCCTTCTCTAACAGCTGCCTTCTTCAGAGTGAAGAGAGTGTTCAGAGCTAATGTCTTCATAGGTGTGTGACTGGGCCTGCCTCTGACCCCAGGACTCCTTCCAGGTAGAACCTGTTTGAGGGACGGGACAGGAAGCAGGGCTGCAGGTCTCTTAACTTCACTTGCTGAGGTACAGCCACCACTGTGACCTTGAGCTGTTTTTTTCTTGTTGACTGCTTAAGCTTTTTCCCTTTCTCTCTGGTGCCAGTATAGTTAAGAAGGGCGATGGTAAAATCGCCAGCAAGGTGTGCCCTGNAAGCTTTTTCCCTTTCTCTCTGGTGCCAGTATAGTTAAGAAGGGCGATGGTAAAATCGCCAGCAAGGTGTGCCCTGAGGATAGATGTCCACCATTGCACTGGTTTGGGTAAAAAAATGAGACTCGTTAATACTCGATTTGCTCTCCAGCCATGAGTCTCTTGAGTTTATGAAAACTCCAAACTTTTCTGCTCTGCCCACTCTTCTTTCTGTATTCCATATTTCTGATTCTTGATCCCTATTTTGCTCTAAAGAGAAAGTTCCAGATAAAACCCAAGCTTGTCTTCTACTTTAGTCATGTACCATCTAGCAAGGGAGGGCGTTACAAAACTTTGTCTTCAAACTAATGAAAAGGTCAATGTAAACAGCTCCTTTCAATGCTTTATTGTCTGCGAGCTGGGGGAAGGCTGGGTGAGAAAGGAAACTGGTTGGGATTTGTGGGCATGACTTTTAGGAGAAGATGAATTGCTCAGTGTCTCATTTCACTCATGTATAAAACAATGTACATGAAATTGGCTTTGGGCCCAAGAAAGGTGACCTAAATGGGCAAGCAGCAACAGCGTGCCAGAGCAGCCTGGAGAACATTCCAGTGGCTCAGTGCCTCCGAGGGACGGAGAAGGCCTGGCAGTAGCTGGGAGGTCAGGTCCCACCGTGGAGGGAAAGCGTGTCCTCTAGGGCCCACTCTGCCTCCACGGGATGCTCCTCGCCCAGGCCTCCGTGCTTTTCTTCATGTCCCCTCCTCTCAGAGGCGAGGTTACTGGGAGAGAGAAAGAAAAGGCAGTCTCTGCAAGGGCACATCAGGCCGGGGTTTGAATCCCTAGCAAGTCATCTTCCCTCTGTGGGCCTCAGTTCCCTTACTCAAAACAAAATCAAACAAAGCAAACTTTTCCGATTGTCTCTGCTGTACCAAGCACTGTGCTGGGGGTATGACTTGTAAAGATCCAGTCATCTGGGAGAGGGAGGTGGAGAAAGCAGTAACCACACAGCAGTGTGAGGAGTGAGAGGCTGGTCTGCAGCAGTCAGTGGGGAGACAGTGGGATCCGATCATTGGAAGAGCCTTGTCCATGTAAAGCAAGCTATAAATGTGAGCTGTGATCATAGCCCTAATTTTCATTATCATGCAATCTGAGATAATAAGTGCTAGTGGGTGAATGTATTCACTGTTAGTGTCAATAGGGACCTTTTAAAGAAAATGTCTAGAACAGAAGAAGCAGGTTGAATGAGGGAGGCTCTGTGGTAAACCAGTGAGGTAGTTAATTTGGATTGAGTTTGACCTTTCATCTCAGTTAAGACGATGTCTCTCATTTCCCATAGGTGGAAGCTCATTTTTCTTGTTTAAATGTGTATCTGTGCATGTGTGTTGTTCCGGGCTGACAAATTTTAGCTCACATTATGCTCTGACAAATGGCAGTGTTCACTTGT